TTAATTACTCTTGGGGTTAAGATGTAGCCATCATTATCTCCATTAGTTCATAAGAGGAGTTACTGCCAGTGATTTGAAAAAGCAATCTTATTAGAACTGTTTAAGATTACATGTACATTTTACAATTCTGAAAGATAAGCTGAAAAAATGTTTTTAGTTATAAGTGATTCTAAATAGGCAACAAAATGTATGTGCAAACATATACACATGCATGTGTGCACACCTAAGCACAACTATATTTTTAAGCAGCAGGAAAAAAATATACTTTGAAATGGGTAAACATTTTCCTTTGGAAAATACTTGCATACTTAAGAGATCTATCTCATTGGCAGTTCAAACATACCATCACCAGCCCCAATCCCTTGTCTCAGGCAGGTAGAAGTGCTGTTATTACCTCCTTGTAGAAGCAAAGAGGGAGAGATTCATTTAAGATCGTGTAGCCAATTAGTAAGAACGAGAGAGAAAGGAATATGGTATCATCAAACATCAAAATCTATTCAAGTATCCAGTTTAGCAGATCATCCAATCTTTGGAATTCCTTTTGTCGATCTTGGAGTTCCAAATTCCTATCTGTGTTTATCCAAATTTAGATTACTGCTAAAATAGAGAAAAGGGTGCACTGCTCATGAAGCAGTTGAATTAAAAGAAAACATAAATTGACCTTTAAAAATATTTTGAATTAAGATTCTTTGGAAATGGATATTATAAATATAAGATTGGCTAGTACTCAAAAACTATAATTTTCCTTTACTTAATTATCTCAAAATAAAACCACAATTGCTTATAAAGATCATGCTATCTGGCTTCTGATTTGGAAGTATTCGCTGGAAAACGACTGGGGTATACAATAAGTTAACAAACCCATACACACACGAGGTGTGTGCAGGGTATGCTTTGTTTCTATAATTAATTTTAGCTGAATTGATCTTTTAAGAAAAAATGAATCACTTTTATTCCAGTACAGTTGTTTTAACTCAAATAAAAAAGATGACAGAGAATTAATGGTCTTATTTTTTAAAATCTTACAAATTAATGGAAAGATAAACAAGAAAAATGGTCAAAGGACATAAATAATTTAAAAATGGCCAATAATCATTTGCAAGAACGTTTAATTTTATTGAGAATCTTAAGGAGTACAAATTATAACAAGTATGAGATACCAGTTTCACTTGTCAAGTTGGAAAATTTTTAAAATAATAATACCTAATGGGGAATGTATTAATATATAAAAATAACTGCAATGGTACTGCTAATATAAATTGCTTCAAGTTTATACACAGACTTTGGTTGAGATGTCTTCCTATCCAGTGCCACCCCCAGGCCACGTCATCGCAGGGGCTAAAGAGCAACTAAAGCAATATGCTTTTGGTAGGTGTTTGTATTCCTGGCTAAACCATTTTGTCACCCAAAACTGGTGGGGAGGTGGGTATCCAAGCCTAGAGAATTCCCTTGGTCCCTTTTTTCCAAAAAGGAAGAAAAAAAGTGGGCCTAGAAGCTACCTTTGAGTCTTAATGACTTTCTAGTACTATCCTATCCACCAGTGAGCTCATGGTGAAGATGATTCAAAACTTACTCTTCTAATGAAAAATAACACCACAAGTACTCACGCAGCAAATTGGTATTTAACTGATCAACAACCTAAGTGGACATATAGGAATAACATTTATCTGGCATTGGTAGATGGGAGGGGGGAAGGAAGGGGATGGTATATACATACATAATAAGTGCGATGCACACTGTCTGGGGGATGGACATGCTTGAAGCTCTGACTCAGAGGACTGGGGGGGGGAGGGAAAAAGCAACACATTAACCTAACATTTGTACCCCCATTAAAATGCTGAAAGAAGAAGAAAAACAAACCCTTCCTCTTCTAAGTATGGATCCCTCCAGACAGGGTTTTGAGAGTAGTTCCAATTTAGGCAGCAAACTAACCTGTGATGCTAAATCCCAAAGTACCGCATGTGCTTGCTGATTGAAACCAAAGTAGTGAACAAAATACAAGCAGAGGAAGCCTTTGCTAAACTAAAGGCAGCCTAAAATTATTTCTGTGACCTCCTGCTAACCTAACCAGTTAGTTCTTTGTCTCATTCTTATTTCATTCATTCAGCACCACCTACTTAGGAAAGCATTTTTCTAATCTGATAAATTTATAAAGATGATCTAAGACCAGAGCCCCTCCCCTCCAAGACGGACTCCACGGGGGGAAGAAAGGCAGAGGCCAGCTCTTCCATCTCTTGCCCTAAGTTGCCACTCTGTCTCCCTTCCCCTTTACTTTGTGCACTTTTGGAAACGTGCCTGTTGTTAGTCCAGTTCCTTCCTTGCTGTTTGGTTTTTTTTTTTACTATGTTATCAAGGATTCATAGGAGCCCTAACAAATTCTGGCTATACAAACATGTAAAAAGAAATTGGCTGGAAGAACATCACATCAAAAGATTATAATAGAGTTTACTCCCAGGGAGGGAAGCAGGACTGGGGAAGGATGCATGGTTTTTAATTTATATGCATTCTAGAGTATTTTGAATTTTAAAATAAGCTTTTGCTTAGAGATTACATTGTTTATAATAGAAAAAAAGAAAAACAATTTTTATATTAAAAAGGAAAAGAAATGAGAAGGATGGCAACAGTGAACCCAAATGAATTGGTGACATTTTCTTGCCTTTACTGGCATCTGTTTTGGTTTCATTTGAAGAAAACAGAAAAAACAATCTCAAAGCAGCATTGTGGAGTGCAGGGGAACATAATTATAGATCTTGCAAATGACTCAAAACAAAATCTCTTTTTCCTTTAGATTTGCTTGATTCATGTAGATTGCTGTTTTATTCTTGAAATTCAAAATGACCTCATTCTTCCTTTACTATACAAAAAATGTTTGACATGAAAAATCAGCAAGCATTTTGGCAAGCTGGGTTTAGGGTAAGCAATGGAAAGTTTGGTGGTGAGGGGTCAACAGGGCGATGGTTTTCTAGAGTGTGAAAATTCCTGTAATGTGGAATGCGTACGTGTGAAATCACCAGTCACTATATTCTGCAATAACTTAATAACATGACCGTTCCTCCACAACCCTCTCGTTTTCCCACACTGAGTCCAGTTTCACACCGGCTACTATGAAACTTTACAAAGAAAGGAGGAGTAAATTTTACCAACGAGGCAGCAACGTGTTGCAAATACCAACATTCTATAATAAGATGAAACAGTTCCTCTAATCCACATTATTAGTAATGAGTACCATGATTCAGAGTGAATGGTCACAATCTTGAATTTAATCATCTCCCCGTGCCTGAAGCTTTTCAATACGTATTAAGTTATTACTGAAACACAGAGGAGCTTGGAGACTTTATGCAATAAACAATCACTGTGTTCATAGAAAGTGCCAGACACTATAAGCGAAATGTTCCCTGCTCTCATGGAGGCTACAGTCTAGAGGAGGAAGGAGATGTTCAATAACAAAACAAATGTTCTGAGAGCTCATAAGAAGCCTAATGTAGTTGGTAGGGTGAGGAAGTTGGATCTTACGTGGTGACACCCAGCTGGGAAATACAGACACACAGGAGTGAGCCAAGTGGGGTTGGAGCCTGCCGGGCAGAGGAATAGGATGAACACAGTTCTGTGGCAGGAGGGGAAACGACCCTCTGGACCTTCTGGAAAAAGGCCTGTTAGGTAGAGCCAGGCAGTGGGGACAGTGGCTTGAGATAGGGAGTGTCAGCCAGGGATAGATTGCCTACCACCTTGGCCACACTGATTGAGTCAGGAATCAAGTCCTAACCAAAGACAGGCTCCTTTAGACTCTCCAGCCCCATGAGGGGACCTGGAGTGACACCAGATATTGACTGCCTGAACCAGTCAAAGCCTTTCTCTTGGAAAATTTGAACATGAGATAGAGAGTGGGGAAAGACCCAGAAATAGAGAAAAACAGACTGACAGATAAATGGAATACAGTCAAGTGGTAACCCAGAAAGAGACAGGAGTCTTGTAGACCATATTAAGGATCTTGGTCTTTATCTTAAGAACAAATACTGGTAAGGAATGATGGAGGCTGAACCAGGACCACAGAAGCAGAAATGAAGAAGAGGGGCTGGTAGTTTTACAAATACAACCACAGTGACACTTCCTTAATTCCCTTTCTCCTGAGTGCGGCCTAGACTTAGTGATTTGCTTCTAACAAATAGAATATGGCAAAAGTGATGGTATGTGACTTCCAAGATTAAATTATAAGGAGACTTCAGCTACCATCTTGAGCACACTCATTCTCTCTATCTCTCTCTTCCTCTCCTCCTCCCCACTTCCCCCTCTCCCCCTCCCCCTCTTCCCAGTGGGGAAGCTGTTAAGTTCTGAGCAGTCCTATGGAGAGGCTGTGGTGAGGAACTGAAGCCTCCAGCAAAGAGCCAGCAAGGAGCTGAGACCTGCTAACAACCACAGGAGTGATCTTAAACGTGAGCTCTCCAGCCCTAATCAAGCTTTGAGATAACTGCAGCTCTAGATAACAGCTTGCCTGCAACCAGCTAAGCTAAGCCACTCCCAGATTTTTAACCTTTGGAAACTGTATAAAATAATAATTATGCTGTTATTGCTAAACATTGGCATAGTTTGTTATACAGCATTTAATAATGACTATAGAGGGGGGCGAATGAAATTGGTATTACATAGGTGGCATTGCTTGGACTTTGCAATCATAGCTATGGGGTGGGAGGGAAAGAACAAAAGAAGTAAAAACGATTCTGAGCTTTGAACCTTGCTTACTGAGGTTCTGCTTTAGAGAAGTGGTAGGAACATTGGAGGAAGAATTTGGGGGGGGGGAGAAAATAATCTCCATTTTGAACTCTGAATTTGAGAGGCTGGTGAGATTTTCAGGTGAAGGTGTCCCATAGAAATTTGGAAATACGGAAAGGTGTTAGAGTGGAGAGGAGTCATCTGGGTAGAGTTGAACCATCGCAGTGGAGGGCGTTCGCATGGAGGGCGAGGAGAGAGAAAGACAGATGAAGGACAAACAAAGATCATGTACATTTATGATTCTAAAGAGGAAGAAGAAAAGTAGTGCTCAGAGAAAAGGATAAAGATTCTCTAAGAGGGTTTGGATAAGGAGAAGATGTTCCACTGAGTCAAAAACAACAAAAAGAGATCTCTATCTCTAGAAAGTTCTACCTCATATTATAAATCTGCATATTAGATGATCTATAAATCTCCTGGTGGGGTAAGTCAACACTGGCTGTACAGATGAAATAAAATTTCGAGAACTATAATGCAGAAAACAAGGCCTCGAATTGTGGTAACCCTAGCAAAGCCGTCCCCAGGTCCCCTGTTTGTCTTCGTATGACCTCTCTCAAACTGCACCAGATGGGATGCTCGTGACAACCTGCTCTTTTTGCAAATGGGGATTTTTCAAGTTGCAAAATATGGAGAATTCTTCATTTATCTCAAGATAGGGATACTGGGGAGGGTTGAGGAAGCAAAGTAACCAGTTTTCAGGGTACATGCCAGGCCTGTGGAGAACTAGAATGAGGTTCTGACTTAGAGCTGCAGTCCCTCCAGCAGCCTGCCAGTCCTGAAGCATCTCCTGCCTTGCACCCTATTCCTTTCTTTACTTGCTTCTTCTTGTTAATCTTCTACTACCTAATGGCTTTCCACACCTTCTTTTGTAGTGTCTATTTACTGAAGTTACCTATTGCTTCATAGTGTCTGCTCCCTGCCTTCTCTTTCCCCGCCTCCCAGTTTCTGTGTCAACACTAGACTCCCTTCTGTTTGTCAGTCTGTCTGCTTTTCTCTATTTCTGGGTCTCTCTAGTCATCTGTCTTGAGTTCAAACTCCCCAGGAGAGAGACTTTGGTTGAGATGGTTTCTATACAGTGCCACGTCATCGCAGGGGGCTAAAGAGCCTAAAGCAATATGACTTTTGGTCAGGTGTTGATTCCTGGCTAAACCATTTGTCACCAAACTGGTGGGGGAGGTGGGTATCCAAGCCTAGAGAATTCCCTGTGGTCCCTTTTTTCCAAAAGGAAGTAGTGGGCCTAGAAGCTACTTTGAGTCTTAATGACCTTTCTAGTACTATCTATCCACCAGTGAGCTCATGGTGAAGATGATTCAAAACTTACCCTTCTAATGGAAAAATAAGCACCACAAGTACTCACCAGCAAATTGGTATTAACTGATCAACACCTAAGTGGACATACAGGAATAACATTTATCTGGCATCGGGTAGATGGGAGGGGGAAGGAGGGGATGGGTATATACATACATAATAAGTGCGATGCACACTGTCTGGGGGATGGACATGCTTGAAGCTCTGACTCAGGGGACTGGGGGGAGGGGAGTGGAAAAGGCAACACATATAACCTGAACATTTGTACCCCCATAATATGCTGAAAGAAGAAGAAAAACAAACTTCCTCTTCTAAGTATGGATTCCCTCCAGAAGGGTTTTTGAGGAGTAGTTCAATTTAGCAGCAACTACCTGTGATGCTAAATCCCAAAGTAGCATGTGCTTGCTGATTGAAAACCAAAGGTAGTGAACAAAATACAAGCAGAGGAAGCCTTTGCTAAACTAAAGGAGCCTAAAATTATTTCCGTGACCTCTGCCTAACCCTAACCAGTTAGTTCTTTTTCTTCATTCTTATTCATTCATTCAGCACCACCTACTTAGGAAGCATTTTTCTAATCTGATAAATTTATAAACATGATCAAGACAGAGCCCTCCCCTCAAAACGCTGACTCCCACGGGGGGAGAAAGGCAGAGGCAGCTCTTCTCATCTCTCTGCCCTAGTTCCACTCTGTCCTCCCTTCCCCTTTACTTTGTGCACTTTTTGGAAACGTGCCTGTTGTTAGTCAGTTCCTTCCTTGCCTGTGTTTTTTTTACTATGTTTATCAAGGATTCATAGGAGCCCTAACAAATTCTGGCTATACAAACATGTAAAAAGTAAATGTGGCTGGAAGAACACACATCAAAAGATTATAATAGAGTTTACTCCAGGGAGGGAAGCAGGACTGGGGAAGGAGTGCATGGTTTTTAATTTATATGCCTTTAGAGTATTTGAATTTTATAAGCTTTTACTTAGAGATTACTTGTTATAATAGAAAAATAAGAAACAATTTTATATATAAAAAAGGAAAAGAAATGAGAAGAAATGGGCAACAGTGAACCAATGAAGTTGGTGACATTTTCTGTGCCTTTACTGGCATTGTTTTGGTTTCATTGAAGAAACAGAAAAAGCAATCTCAAAGCAGCATTGTGGAGTGCAGGGGGAACATAATTATAATCTGCAAATGACTCAAAAAAAATTCTCTTTTGTCCTTTAGATTTGCTTGATTCATGTAGATTGCTTTTTTATTCTTGAAATTCAAATGACCTCATTCTTCCTTTACTATACAAAAAATGCTTGACATGACAAAATCAGCAAGCATTTTGGAAGCTGGGGTTTTAGGGGTAAGCAATGGAAAGTTTGGTGGTGAGGGGCCAACAGGGGATGGTTTTCTTAGACGTGTGAACTTCCTGTAATGTGGAATGCGTACGTGTGAAATCACCAGTCACTATATTTGCAATAACTTAATAACATGACCGTTCCTCCACCCGTCCTCTTTTCCCACACTGAGTTCCAGTTTCACACCGGGCTACTATGAAGCTTTACAAAGAAAGGAGGAAGTAAACTACCAACGAGGCAGCAACGTGTTGCAAATACCACATTCTTAATAGATGAAAGTTCCTCTAATCACATTTATTAGTAATGCTACATGATTCAGAGTGAATGGTCACAATCTTGAATTTAATCATCTCCCCGTGCCCTGAAGCTTTCAAACGTATTAATTATTACTGAAAAGGCCCTGCCTTGCTGGGGCAGAGTTAGCAGACAATAAGAGCCTAGCAAGGGTCAGCTTCATTTTGCCACAAGATTGCACCTGCTCCCTCATCTGAACTAAAAAAGAAGTTAAAATGTGATATGTAAGTGACTAGGTCCTTTTGTCTGATGCAGGAAAGCAATGAGAGCTCCTGTTTCCACACTGTTGTTCTTGCTAAAGGGTCTCCAAGGGTGTGACACTTGGAAGAATTAGTTCCTTACTCTCTAAAAGCAAATAGCTCTGCAGGGGAGAGGCAGCAGCTGGCCAGTGGGGCCCAGTAATCCCCGGCAGCACACCAGGGGCTGACAGAGGGGATTACTGTGTTTGAGGAAACTGATAGGATCTAGAGAGAAACCAAAGCTTAATGGTTTGTCTGTCATTCCTCTTAAAATTAGGTAAGAGCAAAAGTAGGCAAATTGCTGCTTGAGGAGTGACTAAGGAATAAAGGAAATTTGGGGCCTACCACATTGAAGGCAGATCAGTCTGCGGAATGGCCAATTTAGTAATAATTCAGAATAATGTGTTGCCCTTGGACAGCTTCAAAGTGGTATTTTAAATGACTATTCAATTAGCAGAGTCTGCCAGCTGACAAAACCTCGGTAGTATTTGGCTACCTAAGAGAAGGCAAACCCTGAGCATGTAGATATTTTAATTAAAGTTGAATATGGATGGAATTCACTGTGCTTAATATTGGACTTCTTGGGCCTACTCTCGCCCACTGCTTTAATCTCAGCTCTGACATTGTTAAATGGAAGCAGCTAGTGAGAATGCAGTAGCTTGCTTCAAAGAAAAAAGAGCACTTTTGACAAAACCCCAGAGGCTAAGATTATTAACAATTCTAAAAGCAGCAACAAAAGTTATGAATGTTGGTTCTACTGTTTACCATTTTGGAAAAATATTGTTCACCTGTCCTTTGATTTTTATAAGGCAGTTTTGAAAAACATCCATCAAAGACCTGCTCTGAATCTCCAGGTGTGAAAACAGGGCATAACGGGAAATCCAGATGGTCAAACTATTGGCGGAGATTTTATATTTCTGATTGGTAGAGAGAAGAAATCCTGTATTTGAGATACAACAGATGGGAAATGCCAACTTCACCACTTAAAGTATTACCGTTGTTCCCTCCCCACAATCTGGAAACAAGTGATGGTGTTGCTCCCTTTCCTAGACGGGGAAAACTTGACAGAACCATTTAATTACTCTTGGGGTTAAGATGTAGCCATCATTATCTCCATTAGTTCATAAAAGGAGTTACTGCCAGTGATTTGAAAAAGCAATCTTATTAGAACTGTTTAAGATTACATGTACATTTTACAATTCTGAAAGATAAACTGAAAAAATGTTTTTAGTTATAAGTGATTCTAAATAGGCAACAAAATGTATGTGCAAACATATACACATGCATGTGTGCACACCTAAGCACAACTATATTTTTAAGCAGCAGGAAAAAAATATACTTTGAAATGGGTAAACATTTTCCTTTGGAAAATACTTGCATACTTAAGAGATCTATCTCATTGGCAGTTCAAACATACCATCACCAGCCCCAATCCCTTGTCTCAGGCAGGTAGAAGTGCTGTTATTACCTCCTTGTAGAAGCAAAGAGGGAGAGATTCATTTAAGATCGTGTAGCCAATTAGTAAGAACGAGAGAGAAAGGAATATGGTATCATCAAACATCAAAATCTATTCAAGTATCCAGTTTAGCAGATCATCCAATCTTTGGAATTCCTTTTGTCGATCTTGGAGTTCCAAATTCCTATCTGTGTTTATCCAAATTTAGATTACTGCTAAAATAGAGAAAAGGGTACACTGCTCATGAAGCAGTTGAATTAAAAGAAAACATAAATTGACCTTTAAAAATATTTTGAATTAAGATTCTTTGGAAATGGATATTATAAATATAAGATTGGCTAGTACTCAAAAACTATAATTTTCCTTTACTTAATTATCTCAAAATAAAACCACAATTGCTTATAAAGATCATGCTATCTGGCTTCTGATTTGGAAGTATTTGCTGGAAAACGACTGGGGTATACAATAAGTTAACAAACCCATACACACACCAGGTGTGTGCAGGGTATGCTTTGTTTCTATAATTAATTTTAGCTGAATTGATCTTTTAAGAAAAAATGCATCACTTTTATTCCAGTACAGTTGTTTTAACTCAAATAAAAAAGATGACAGAGAATTATTTTTTAAAATCTTACAAATTAATGGAAAGATAAACAAGAAAAATGGTCAAAGGACATAAATAATTTAAAAATGGCCAATAATCATTTGCAAGAACATTTAATTTTATTGAGAATCTTAAGGAGTACAAATTATAACAAGTATGAGATACCAGTTTCACTTGTCAAGTTGGAAAATTTTTAAAATAATAATACCTAATGGGGAATGTATTAATATATAAAAATAACTGCAATGGTACTGCTAATATAAATTGCTTCAAGTTTATATATACACACACACACACACACACACACACTTCAAAAAGGTATTGATTCAAATTGAGATATCGTTTTTGTTTTGTTTTTTTTTAGGAAGGTATATATGTAGGTCTTCATGGAATTCCCAACATGATTCATATCAAAAAGAAAGAGCATGTGACATCCATTGTTCTCCATTACCATTCTCATTACATTAAAGATGAACAACCACGCAGGAAGTATAAAACTCTGGCTGCCATGAGCACATCTGAATACATAATTTTTAACATTCATTTTATTTTCCATTAACACACAAAATCACTTTATTCAATGTGAATAAAATCTACATTCAGAGACACAAAATGTTGGCCAATTCCTCACTGATAACCCCTTAGTGATTCTGGGAAACTTGCAGAGCAGCGTCAGGGTGGTTTGCAGGCTTCAGGTTGCTGGGGGACACCTTCTACAAGTTGAGCACTTTGCACGCTCGCAGATGGCAGATAGAGCCAGTGTGTTGAAAAACAAGGGTCAGTACAAGGGTTAAACGAAAATGAAATCATGCTGACCCAGAAATGCAAATCAGCATGCCTTAGTTCTCTGTAGAACTTGTGTTGCCTGAACGCTCTATTCTTTCTTCAGATTACCTAGTGTCCCGAGAGAGGCTTCAGCGATTTCAAGAAGAGAGATGCAATGTGGAGGGAATCGGCAGGCAGCAGGGGAATCTAATTGTATTTGAGAAGCATCTCCACAATTTGCAGTGGTCTTCTCACAGGGAAAATGGGGGGTTGAAATGCATTTACCTTTCTTTCTACCACTTTTACTGCCTTTAACAGTCCAAATTCAAAGCTCAAAGTCAGAGGTGATTTTAAAACTATCTCTTACCCAATCAGAAAAGTGAGAGCACACAACCTTAGAGATTTATAATTCTAATTTGTATTTTGTTCTATAAAGTAGCGAAGATTTCAGGAAGCTCCTGGTTGCTGGTAGAAAGCTGCCTAAAATATAAATTTCAGGTAAATAATCTCATGGGTCTCTTCCCTAATGGAGTTGGAAAGGACAGAGGGAGGGAGAATAGCAGAAGGGAGAGAGGGAGGGTGGCAAGATGAGAGGTAATGAAGAAGAGATGAGTGCAGGTTGAAAAGGAAAAGAACAGAAGCTAAGATCAGAGAGGGAGTCAGGAAAAACAAAACTGAACAAAGTAAGCCAAGAGTAGATGGCAAAGGGATGATGAATGAGACAAATGGCTTGGGCTTGCACCTGGGTGACTTTAGGCAAACAACTTACCCTATTTGCCTGTGCCACACTTTCCTTATCTGTTTAAATAATAAGCTTAATTCTAAAGGCTTGTGGAGAGAGAGTAATTGTGAGGATCTATGTAAAGCACCAGAACAGTGCCAGGACAGAGTGAGTGTTCAGTGACCACGAACTCAATCGACAGCCCTTCCTGCACATCCCCGGCCAGGAGGGAGGCATGGGCCACACTCCCTTATGTGTGGAAGGATAGGTACCTCCCTTCCTCTCCTTTCCCTTTGAGGTCATTTAATAACAATGACCATTTGGGGGCCTGGGCACACCCTGAAGACAGGAGGACCTGGGGGAGAAAGCTGGACATGGATTTGGAGACCTTGTGAGTTCGAATCTCTGTTCTGCTACTTCCCAGCTGGCAGTGCATGAATTTATTCAACAAAGATCTATTGAGATTTCATGACATATCAGTTTCTAGGATTGGGTCTTGTGAATGAAAATAGACACAGTCCCTGCCTTCATGCAGCTTGCAGGCTAATGGGAGAGCCAGATATTAATCAAATGATTAAGCATGTAAATATAAAATGAAAACTATAAAAGAGAGGCACACAATGTCGTAAAAGTCCCTTGAGGAAGACCCTTCTGAGCAGAACTGTCTGCTGCATGGGTGTCAACGCAGACGAGGAGGCTAGTGGCTAAGGGGGTAGCTGGTGTAGCTGAAGCCCAAAAAGGTGGGCAGAGACTGGAGCGGGTAGGTGGAGGCCCAGCTAAGGAGTTTGGTCTTTATTCTAAGGGTGAACAGAAAAATCACTGGAGGATTTTTAAGCAGGAAAATCACATGATCATATGTGACTTTAGAGAGGACCACTCAAACTTTAGTGTGGAAAACAGACTTGAGGACAGTGAGGTAGACTACTGGGTCATCTAGGGGAACAGTGGCGGCTGGGGCTGGAGTGGCACCCATGGGGCAGTCTAGAGATTGGTGGGTATTACGTCAACAGGACTCGGAGGGAAGTTAGAATATAGAGGGCAGGTGTCTCAACTGAGGAACGAGATGCTGAAATGTTCATTCACTGAGACAGGGAGCTTTGGGAGAATGCCAAGTCTGGCGGAGGCTTGCTCGTAGGTTCAGTTTTAGGCCTGTTTACTTCTGTGGCCTTGGGGAAGGCATTTAACGCCTCTAGGCCACTGGAGCGCATCGAGGATTAACTGAGGTCACATGCACGAAGGCCTGGCACACAGCAGATGCCCAGTAAATGGCAGCTGCGCATTACTGGGATTTTAGACAAGAAATACTGAGGCGACTTGGCCTTGGCCTTCCACAGAGGGCTGAGACCGCTTGCTCTACAGCTCAGATTTCACCTTTCTTGAGATGATGGCAAACCATGACAAACACAAGATCTTAAAGGAGAGTGCACCATTTGAGCACAGAGGAAATCAGGATCCTTAGATCACATAGGGTTGGTGGCCGGTGTGGGGGGTGGATTCAAACTTAGTTTATTTATGAGGAGATTCCTTGGTTTGCCTTGTTTTTTTTTTAATCATTATGATATGAGAAGTCAAGTTCTGAGACTTGCATACATGGTACTTGCTATTTTTCATTTCTTGCACAGGGAAACCAGCATTTGAGGGTCCAATTTATGAACTTTTAGGATAAATACACCAATATATATTTAACAAATGTTTCTTAAGTATCTCCTTTATATAGTGAATTAGGGAATACAAAGATAAATGATCTAGATAAATTCCTTGTTCTTAAGGAGTTTGAGGTCTAGAATGAGCGACAGATATGTACTAAAATTGCACGAGGGTGTGTACAATAGATAATGAGGAGAAAAATTCTCAAGTCCGGAAATAGCAGTTCCTGAGTTTCAAGTTGGAAACTGAAACATAGGCATTGCTTTCAAATGCTACACCAGCTCTGCGTTTTTGGTGTAAAGGGTCCTAGTTTGAGGGCTGGAAAATCAGCTGGGTGGATACTGTCTCAACCCGAGACAAAAAACAAAGATATTATCAGGCTCTGGGCATAATAAACATAGACAGCCAAAAGTCATTATTACATTGAACTGGGTGTGGGTCTTTTTGGGAGGCAGGGGATGCCTGAAGTGGTAAGTCTAAAGAAAAAGGGTATTTTCTAAAGAGAAAGATGTTCTATTATTAACATCAAATTAGAGAACTATTTGTACAGCCAAGGAAGTCATGGATATTATGCCTCATGGTTGACATCCATAGTTTTGTATCATAAAAGTAACTTGAAAAAAATCCACAGAGCTCTGCCCGGCACCAGGACTGCTAACCAGTGTTCAGTGCCAGCTCTCGAAGGAATGGCAAGCTCAAGGAGCCAGCCTACCCCACACATTCTAGCTTTGAAAAAATTTTTCTGAAATTTAAATTAAAACCAGTTCTTTGGAAATGATCTTTATTTTCATCTTTAGAGCAATTCAAACATGCCATTTATTTTCTCAGTGTCTGCCATGAGATCAGGAAATTCAGCATATTGAACACAAATCAAAGCTAATTCTAGGAATTTCCAAAGTCAAAGACTATCCCAAGAACATCTTTACATCAAGGAAACTTGACGGTAAGTTCCAGAGAGCCCACTTTCCAGACGGAAATACTGTCCTCCAATAACTGAAATAACTCAGGTCTGAGCTTGAAGGAACAGTCTAGCTTTTAGTTAATAGGTTCTGTTAGTCTCCTGAGTTAACGAAAATGAGTTATTTGCTTACACTTTCCCTTCTAGCAGGTTGGTTGCTATTAAACAGAAAAAGTAATTCTCTTAATGAAAAAAATCAGTGTCCAACATATTCTCTAAGACCCGACTCAAATGTCACCTCCATTACTGCCTCCCTGGTCCTTATACATGGCTCTTTTGGAGGCTTTGTCACATTGAATGCAAATTGTTTCCAGTACCCATGTGCCCTTCTATATTGTGAGCTCCTCAAGGGCAAGGAGGGGCATATGTACTTTGTGGACATAATGCCTGACACATAGGAGACATCCAATCTGAATTAAAAGAATAAAAGTCAATTAGGGAGAAAAACATCATAGAAATACAATGAGAGAGACAGGTGGCCCAGAGAAACAATGGAATCCCACCCATCACAAGGGCATACACAAGGAGAAAGGCAATGAAAGCCACTGGAGGTTCTGGGGGCACAGGCAGCAGACTGCTAAATACATTGGACTGGCCCAAGGACCTGGGTATGAAAGCCTGTCCTTTCCCAGCAGCTAGTCACTTCTCTTTGAAGGTATCCCTGCTTTGCTATTTCCCCTTGGGTCAAGGGGATGAACAACCCCAGGGGCTGGATGTGTTGTCTAGGGCAAGCCCCAGGCTCATGCCCAGGAAATACATCTGTGGCTGGGGTGTGTACATATTATCCCATGCATAATAAGGTGTGTGTTGAGGTCCTTGCTGTTGTTTTTTGCTTGTTCAGTTTTAATGGAGAGTGGAGGGGAAGGAGTCTTACAGGCAAAAGTGCCTATGAATGAACGATGTAGTCTCTGAATAAGCCATATGCTTGAGGAAATAAATCTAGTTGCATAGCCCCCTGATAATACACTATGAAGTCTCATCACCCTCATTATACAAGCCTTTATCAAAGCAAGAAGGAGGGGTTGTAAATTCTACAAACAAGAGTTTCGAGAAAACCTTACATCTTTTGACTCTGATGCTTTTCAGAGAAAATATGTATCTTTGTAAACACTCCTGGGGGTTGTTTCTATAAACATCATTTTTTAAAGCAATCTTTTAGATTAGATGTGGATAAACAGTGCCAGAAATGGTATGCACTGTTTTAATTTCTAACTTTAGTGTTCATTTTAGCAAACTTAAATTTTCAATTCAGGAAACAGACATTCTTGAAAACTGTTCTCCATTTTTTTTTTTTTTAATTGGGAATCATCAAATTTTAGAGCTGGAAGGGACTACATTCCTCATCTGGCCCCATGTACACAGCCTGGACTTTCTCCATTCTGCACAGAAGTAGGAAGCAGCAAGTTCACCAATCTTTGAACTGTCATGCATCCAATTATCAGGAATTGATCATAGTAATAGGTTACTGAAAGGTAGTATTTCTCCAAATGTATATATCAAGCTAGAGAGTGCTGAGATAATTTTTTTAAAAGATTCTGTAATCAAGTTTTACAAGTACAGGGCTTAAAAACTTCAAAATACTAATATGTGTACATCATGACTATCCAAGAAAAAGGTAAGTATGCAATGAAAAGGACCCCCAAACTCCTTTTTTTTTAGTAGATCAAAGTTCAGATAAATGAGCTACAAAGTTTTCAGCTCTACTAGTCATCTAATATTTGTGGTAGCTATTGGCTTTTAATCACAGGAATAGAGTGTAAATTTGTTCTTGAGCTTCCTAGTAACCAATGCAAAGATTCAATACATAATTAGATCAAAACTTCATGGTGTTCATCCCATGAACACAAATCAGTTATGTATACAACTATAATCTCTCAATCAAAATAATATTAATAATATATATTTTTAAATAATATAAATTTTTAAAAGGAAAACAGACCAATTGTTCCAGAAGCAAAGCTATCCCTGCTATGGTCCTCAAGGGTGTTCATAAAAAGGGTTAGGATGACAGTCTCAGCAACACCCCCTTCAATGCATACAATAATTTTGTAAGCAATCTTACTACATACTTTTCAGGAGATTGATGCCATATTGTCACAGTGCAGTTCAGTAGAAGCAGTTTTTACAAGAAGTCATACCATGTACCATGTGTTCACAGTCCTTAATTACCTAACTTAATCCCAGATTCCAATCCCACTCTGCGACTAACCAGCTATGCCCATCTCCAAGGATGAGTCATTTGCCTACACCAGAGTTGAACTAGATGGTCCACTTTCAAAATTCTAGAAATCTGTAGGATTCCATTTGTTTTTAAGAAAAATTTCAAGCTTCTCTCCTTTAAAAGTATGAATTGAACTTTGTATGCATCTGTACCTTAAGTAGTTTGCAATCACAGAGGATGTGTTTAACATCATGAAAACCTTGAGCCATGATAAATTGTCAGAAATTTCAAACAGCCTAAAGGAAAAGAGAGAAACTAAGAATAGAAGTAGAGGACCAGAAATAATTTTATGCACTTGAGCATTTTGCTTAAAATCAACCTTAGTTTCTTTAGGAGACTTTGTTAATAATAATGACGATAATAATCATACTAATTTGCTTTAAATCAGCCTATAGTTTCTTAGGAGATAATAATAATAATTAAAGAAGCAGCAGCAAGCACTTATCTGGTATTTCCTGCATTCTACCTCTTATTATAAGCATTATATGTAATTACTCTTTTAATCCTCACAATAACACAAAAAAGTAGATACTATTCCTCTCTTATTTCACAGATGAGGAAGCTGTGATTCCGAGGAGTTGCATAACTTGGCTAACGTCACGTGGGTGGGAGTGGCAGGCTCAGCATTCAAGCTGGATGCAAACTCTGAGGTTTAACCAGCACACACTACTGCCTCCCGGGCAGTGCCTGAGGTAGGCGAAGGCTTGCTGCTAGTCTCAGAGGTGGCCTCACTCCAGCTAGACAGCAAATATTACAGAGAGCACACCTTCTAAATAAGACTTTGTTGAAAAAGAAATGTCAGATTTTTTTTCTAAGAAGAGTGGCTCCATAAATGCAGAGAACAATAAAGATTTTAATGATGAATGATTATTATCCCAATAATATTAACAATACAACAGAAAAAAAAATTGCAGTTCCCTTGAAACGTTGAATGTAGTTTCCACTGTGACAATACAGTAGTTATTAGCTTTGCTGGTAAAACTTGAATCAAAAGACTTCCCCAAAAGTGAGCAGAGTTCAGACTGTAAAGGTTTGGGGAAGGAAACTCCATTGGGGAACAAAGGAGGGCCCTTGTTCCACTCTCAGATGTGCAACTTGTGCACAGACTCTAGGGTCCCAGTGATGTCTTTCCTCTAAGTTACCATGCAATACCACGGTCTTTCTCCAGCATCTCCTCTCCCCCTGCAGCCCTCCTTCCCTCCCTGCCCCTCCTAGCACGCACCTGCCTGTCTGGGGATGTAGGAGAGGGTGTATTTGAACAGTCTAGTCTAGCACCACTCTAACATATAGTCGCATGTCGTAATCACACAGCCAGGAATTATGTCTCGCACTCCTAATTACCCTTCATCAAAGGATCTCAGAGCACTTTTCAAATAGTAATTAGTCATCTCTTCTCATGGATTTTCCTCCTAAAAGCTGGAGGAAAATCTTTCTACAGACAATTGTATGCCTTCCTCCCAAAACTATTACCAGCATATCCATTGTAACCCTTAAGCCAACCCTCACTAAACCACACACACACACAGAGTGAGGGGATTGAGGGAGAGAAAGAGTATTTTTTTAATGGTGGCGAAGGAGTGGAATTCTTCCTGTCCTATCCTGTGCCCACAGTAAGGGTGGAGCCCATGTCATCTGTATACCATAAGCATTATTAATAAAGACCTACAGTTTTCCTGCACGCCATTGATAAAATGAGTGTGAATCCCTTTCCATTCATAGCATTGCTCGCCTCCTTGTATTAATCCTTCTTCTCTGAGCCACACACACCCTGACTAACACAGGCCTCTTAGCCAAACCACATTTTTCTCATAAAGAACTGTGCATTTCAGAATTGGGTAAATTGGTTCTTAAAAGTGTGTTATTTTCAAAATTAATAAAATGTGCCTGTTGGAGTGAACTGCAAACCCAAGGAAATTTTCTTAATGAGCGTGGGCAATCTAAGATGCTGAGTCTCAAACTAACTTTTGCTTACCTTGTGCTACCTCCCTCCCTTTGGTTTCTCTCCTACCTGGAGTGTTGTGTCAAAACAATACCATGGAGAAACCTAGGAGAATATTCTCTCAATATTCCCTGTGGTTTCCTCCTAAGGGCCCTACCTCCAATTCCAACATCCAGCCCCAGTGGCTCAGCCTTGCCTTCGGGGCAGCCCAGGCCATTTCAAGGTGGTCCCTGAGGGAAGGAACTGTGCTTCATTCCAAGACACACTCTGAGGGTCATGAGCCCCTTGAGGCCCATGGCTTCACATCCCCCTTCACCCAGAGGCAGCTCAGGAAGCCACTGCATATACAGGCACACCTCAGAGATACTGTGGGTTTGGTTCCAGACCACTGCAATAAAGAGAATATCACTATCTGTGGCAGCGACAGCCATACAAAATGTATTTCGTAAATAGTAAGACTTGAAAATTTAAATTACTCCTTGATGTATGGGCTGCAGAATGGATGCTACATTAGCAGACATGAAAACAACATTAATCACCTTGTACATTTCCATCAGCGCTCTTGAGTGACTAGGTACTTTGTCAATGAACAGTAATATTTTGAAAGGCATCTTGTGTAGTTCTCACAGAGTGCTTAAAGTATTCAGCAAACCATGCTGTAAACAGATGTGCTATCATCCAGACTTTGTCGTTCCATTTATAGAGCACAGGAAGAGTATATCTAGCATAATTCTTAAAGACTCTAGGATTTACAGAATGGTAAATGAGCACTGGCTTCAATTTAAAGTCCTCAGCTGCATTAGCCCCTAACAAGGGAGTCAGCCTGTCCTTTGAAGTTTTGAAGCCAGCCAATTGACTTCTCCTCTCTAGCTATGAAAGTCCTAAATGACATCTTCACCAATAAGGCTGTTTCATCAACATTGAAAATCTGTTGTTTGGTGTATCCACCTTCATCAATGATCTTAGCTAGATCTTCTGGATAACTTGCCGTAGCTTCTCCATTAGCACTTGTGGCTTCACTTTGTACTTTTTCTTGTTGTAGAGATGGCTTCTTTCCTTAAACATCATGTGTCAACCTCTGCTAGATTCCAACTTTTCTTCTGCAGCTTCCTCATCTCTCTTAGCCTTCGTAGAACTGAAGGGAGTTAAGGCCTTGGTCTGGACTAGGCTTTTGCTTAAGGGACTGTTCTGGCTGGTTGGATCTTCTATCCAGACCAAACTTTCTCCCTATCAGCAATAAGGCTCTTTTGCTTTATTCTCATTTGTGTGGTTCACTGAAGTGGCACTTTTAATTTCCTTCAAACACTTTCTGTATGCATTCACAACTTGGCTATTTGGCACAAGAGGCCTATCTTTTGGCCTGTCTTGGCTGTTGACATGCCTTCCTCACTATGCCTCATCATTTCTAGCTTTTGATTTCAAGTGAGAGCCATATGACTCTTTCTTTCACTTGAACACTTGGAGGCCACTGTAGGGTTATTAATTGGCCTAATTTGTATATTGTTGGTCTCAGGGAATAGGGAGGCCCAAGGAGAAGGAGAGAAAGGGGGGAACAGCTGGTCGGTGGGACAGTCAGAACACACACATTTATTAAGTTTGCTGTCTTCTTTGGGTGTGGTTCGTGGTATCCTAAAACAATTATTATACAATAGTAGCATCAAATATCACGGATCACAGATGACCATAACAGATAATAACAGTGAAAAAAGTTTCAAATATTGCCAGAATTACCAAAACGTAACAGAGACACAAAGTGAGCACATGCTGTTTGAAAAATGGTGCCGTAGACTTACTCAACAGAAGTTTGCCACAAACCTTCAACTGGTAATAGCAGTATCCGCAAGGGGCAGTTAGACGAAGTATGCCTGCAGGCTGTTGTCCTCCACAGTAAGCAGCATATTCTGGAAAGCAGATTTTCACTCCATCAGCTGTGATCTGTTAGTTTTAAAGTCTCATCTGTGTCTCACCACTACCTTTCTAGGAAAGGCATGATTTAATGTCATTTCTGCCCTGCTTCAGGTATCCTATTAGAACTCCTGTCCTCAACTTTTCAGGGAAGGGGAGCAGAACTTTAAGATCTTGCTCAGCCTTGCCTTTTGGTCTTCTGGGTGTTCTTCTAGCCACTTGGATATGCATTATGTCTCATTGCTTGTCTTTCATTCATCCATCCTACTAATGGTTATTGAGCACCTAGCGGGTGTCAGGCTTTGTGCTGGACACACAGCAATGAACAAAATAAACACGGGCCATGCCTTCTTGGAGTCACAGTCTAGAGGCAGACACACGGCAAACAATCAGGCAAATAGCTGCACCATTACAGAGCTGTGATACGTGCTTCTGGAAGTACAGGATGCCATGAAGGAGCACGACAGGCAGATCTAGTGGAGGACACTTGGGCAACGGCATTTGTCAGCCCATCTGTCCTGAACGGTTGGCCCCATGGGCTGCCTTCCACGTCTGGTGAGGATTCCTTAAAAGAAAAGCAGCTGTCATTCGGGGTTTGCCTCACAGAGAAGTCAGGCGGGGCATCCTCCTTCATCTGCTTCGACTTGTAAAGGGTTTGAAGAGACTGCAGGAAGCAAGATCACCTGTCTCGCAACTCCCGGACACCATTCTCGCTGTGATCTGTGAGTGGAGCTTCTGGAGTTGCACACACAGCTAGTTAATGACAAAGCCTGAATTTTTAAATAAGATTTTTAATTTGGTGGAAGGATAATTGAACAACTATGACCTTCTAGGGCACTTGCTACCACTCCTCTCCCTTTCTGCCTTTAAAATAACATTGGCAGAGCTTTTAACTACTCTCAACAACTCTCTTCAGGAAGCATGAAAATCACCCCAATGAATTCCATGCTTTCTTGCTTTGCCTTATAACAGTGGGCACTGGCCTGAATGGAACCTTCAGTTTCTTTCCAACCCCATGGTAAGAATATCACCTTGGCAGCCTGATATCAAATATGATGAGAGTATTTATCAGGGAAATTGGCAAAGCCCACAAATCAGGGCGCTTTTTTCCCCTGGAGAATTGGTTTATCAGCATCTACCTAAGGAAGGCTTATCAACTATCTATCTATCTATTTATTTAGGCAGGGTCTCACTCTGTTCCCCGGGCTAGAGTGCCATGGCGTCAGCCTAGCTCACAGCAACCTCAAACTCCCGGGCTCAAGCGATCCTCCTGCCTCAGCCTCCCGAGTAGCTGGAACTACAGGCGCTTGCTACCATGCCTGGCTAATTTTTTCTATTTTTAGTAGAGACCACAGTCTCACTCTTGCTCAGCCTGCTCTTGAACTCCTGACCTCAAGGAATCCTCCTGCCTCAGCCTCCCAGAATGCTAGGATTACAGGTATGAGCCACCATGCCCAGCTCGTCTACTCTCTATTTAGGAACAAACAAACATTGGTGAGACTACGGTTTTAGTTAAACTGGCTGTACTACAGGACACAATTGACAGTTTGGGCCAGATAATCCTTTGTTGTGTGGATTGTCATGTGCATCGTAGGATGCTTCTCAGTATCCCTAGTTTCTACCCACTAGATGCTAGTAGCACTCCTCTCTCCCGCCAGTGGTGACAACCAAAAGTCTGCAGATATTGCCAAATGTCCCAGGAGGCAGAGGGGAGGGGTGGCAAGTTACTTGTCTGAGAACCAACAGTGATCATAAGGGACAACACCAAACTGAAAAAAATCAGAATGCAGTGCACAACAGTCACTTCCTGCCATTGCCCAGACAAAGAGGCAGTAGTTGTGACCTGCTGACCTTGGAACGAGCCTACTAGCAAGGGACTTTCCCAGCTCCTCGGTAGAGGTTTGTCCCAGCCTCTGGGGTGCTTGTCCAGCCTCCGCAGACAAACAAACATTTGGCTAGTTTGGAGGGTAATCCAAATTATGATTAGAAACAGATTACCTAGCTTGAGACTTGTTTGGCCAGGAACAAAACCACACACACAAATCCCTAATCAATTTCCAGGAAAAGGCCTCTCTTCAACTGGGATTGGTGACAAAAGTCTTTTAATCTTTTTAAATATTCTTAGATCCCTGTGCCCCTCCTGGAGACAGCTTCCAGCCACAGCCTGAGTCACTGACACACTTCACTGCCAGCATGGGGTCAGGGTAGCGTGCGCGTGCAAAGGGTGGCATCTGCAATCCTAAATTTCTGATGTTCTCATCATGAGGATTTGGAAATATAAAGTGAAATAATCTTTAGTACAGATTTCAAACTATTTTTAAATACTATTTATTTTACTATGCTTAAAAAAGCTTGCGAGCAACTTTTACCCATTCCATCTCCATCTCTCTCTCTCTCTCTCTCTCTCACACACACACACTCACACACACATACACACACACACACACACACACACACACTTGTTCTGGCAGCAGCTGTAGCCAGACTGTATCTTCGTCCTGGATGCCTTCTTGATTCCCAACACACAGCTGTTGAGTTGGCCCTTACTCACTTTCTCCAGCTGTTGTTTGCAGAATTAGAAGCTGGACAACTGAGGGAGAAGAGGTGAAGCTGTGCTAAGTGAGGGAGGACAGAGCTAATATACCCTTTTCTTGGAATCTCAAGGATCCAAGGACTGTGTTGGTGGCATCAGGACTGATCATCCAGGCACCAGAAAACACCCGTCCACCTGCTATCACCCACGCAACCAGAAACCCAGGCATTTCTTTAGGTCATTGAGGAGACTGAGCAACTTGCCATTTCAACTAGTATCCTTCTGATGATAACTCTCAAAGCCTCGTCTTAAGCCCTGACTGCATTCCTGAGCTCCAGATCTGGATTTCCAGTGTTTGTTGGCCATATGCAGATGTGCATCCTGCCAGCCCTTCACATGCAACAGGATCTACGTGAGGGTCCCCATTCCTAGCCTCCCAGCCCCTCCTCCTGGGCTGCCCCTCCCAGTGGC